GATTTAGATGAAGCAGTGCAAGGAAATAGGAATAAATTTGCAGATGACACAAAGCCAAGTGGAATCGCAATACCCTAGAAGATGGGGATCTTGGTAGGTCAGAATGCTGGGCAGAGAACAGTATGAAACTCAATAGGAATAAATACCAAGTTGTCCACTTAGGAACAAGAAACCAAATGCACTACTAAAAATAGGGAAAACTTGACTCAACATACTGCCAAGGAGAAGGGTCTTGCAACTGTTGTGGATCACACACCAAACATGAACCAACAATGCGACTGCAGCTGCAAAAAGCACAATGTTATTTTGGGCTGCATTAACGGAAGCATTGCTTCCAAAACTCATGAAGGGCTGGTGCCCCCATACGCAGCACTAGCCAAGACCTCACCTGGAGTCCTGTGTCCAGTTCCGGGCAGTTTTTAGAAGTTTTAAGAAGTTGCAGACAAGCGAGAAAGGGGGCAGCAAGGATGATCCCGGGACGGGAGGCAAAGGCCCGTGAGCAAAGATCGAGGGAACCAAGCGTGCTCAGCCTGAAGAAGAGGGGGCTGGGGGAAGCCGCCATGACACTCCACAGGTACCTGCGGGGCTGGGGCAACGTGGAAGCGCCCGCTCGCGCGCATGCCAGAGCGCAGGGCCTGGAGTAACGGGCTGGAGCTAAAAGAAACCACATTCAGGCGAGGCAGCACCCCGAAGAGCTGCCTCACTATCGGGGCAGTACGACACCCCATCAGCTGGGGAAGCTGGGGGCCCCCCTCGCTGGAGACACCGAGCGGGCTGCTGCAACTTCGCGTCCCGCAAGGGCGGGCGGGCGGGGGTCCGGCAGCAGGTTGGGCGGGGGGGGCCGTCGAGGGAGGAAATCGCCGCCCGCTCGCCCTTGCGCAGAGCGGGGCTGCCCGGGGCATCCGGGGGGGGGGGCGGGGGGCGGGCGCCGGGCTCCGGGGCCCCGGCCCGACGGCGGCCCGTGCGCCCGCGAAGCGCGCTCACCTGGATCACCTGCTGCTTCACGAAGCCGGGCGTCGTGAGGATCATCACGACCCCGCAGAC